CCATTGTGTGGTGATAACAATCTTGTTCATCAAGATTGATATAAATTCATCATATGTTTTGGTGGATTTCTAACATTTGGTATCAAGAGCTTCGGTTGAGTGATTCAAGGAAATCAAGAACGATGGCAATGAATCATCCAAACAGGCATTTTCCAGCAAGTCTTCCAATTCTTAAAGCTGATAATTATGAGAATTGGTGCAAGCAGATGAAGGTTGTGTTTTATTATCAAAGATATTTGGGATCTTGTGAAATATGGATTAGAACTACTTGAAGAAGACACTTCAGAAGAAGAAGAGGCGGAATACAAAGAATAAAAGAAGAAGAATTATAAAGCTCTCTTTATAATTCATCAATGTCTGGGTCAATGAAATTTTGTAAAGGTTAGTGATATAGAATCCGCAAAAGAAGCTTGGGAAGTTCTGAAGAAATCGTTTGGAGGCACTGAGAAGGTGAAAGAGGTAAGGTTACAAACTCACAAAAGAACGTATGAATTGCTTTAGATGGAAGATAGCAAGAGCATATGTGATTTCTTCACTAGGCTTATGAAACTAGTGAATTAAATCAAGGTTTACAGAGTGATGCTAACAACAAGAGTTGTTGTTTCAAAGGTATTGAGATCTTTGGCTCCAAAGTTCGACCATGTGGTAGTTACCATAGAAGAGTCGAAGGACATGTCAACTTTATCGAAGGAAGAGCTTCAAGGGATGTTTGAATCTCATGAACAAAGAATGGTTGAAAGAGTTGCAGGCAAGTCGAAGAGTGATGTGGCTTTGCATGCTCAATCAACAATAGATGAGAAAGGAAAAGGAAAGTGGTTCGATAATAAAGGTAAATGTGGCTACAACAATTTGACTAGTAGAGGAAACAAACACGAAGAAAACGTTTTGAATCAGAGAAGACCATACCAAGGCAACCAAAGATGTGGTGTTGCTAATAGAGGAAGAGATGGTGGTCGAAAACCTGAAAAGAGTCACATTCAGTGTTACAATTGTCAGAAGTATGGTCACTATTCTAGTGATTTCCCAGAAAAGAGAAAGAATCAAGAAATTCATGCTAGTTCGCAAAGTATGAAGAAGAAGAAATGATTTTGATGGTCAAAACAAGAGATGAAGATAAATTCAAGGACCAATGGTACTTGGATTCAGGATGCTCATCACACATTTCTAGAAGGAAAGATTGGTTTGTCAGCATAAAACCCTCAATGAAGAACATGGTGAAATTCATAAATAAAAATAATGTAGCAGTTGAAGATATTGGAAAGATGGCAAGAGGTCAGTAATTTCCAATGTGTTGTACATACCAAGCATGAAGAGCAATTTGCTCAACATAGGTCAGTTGGTCAAAAATAATTATAAAGTGTCGATCAAAGACAAGATGAGGAGAGTTGTCGACGCAACAGGAAGATTAATCTTGAAGGCTCTTATGTCTCAGAATAGGACATTCAAGATTGAACTAAATGTGATGGAGCACAAATGCCTAGAAATTGCAGCTAGCACAAATGAGTGGATATGGAATTATCGACTTGTCCATCTCAACTTCAGAGACATCATAGATTTGAAGAGAAGAAATATGGTTTCAAGATTACCAGAAATCTACATTCCAAACTAGGTGTGTGAGGAATGTGTGCAGGTGAAGAAACACAAGAACAACTTCAACAAGGGTGCATGAAGCAAGTCAAAGGCAACCCTCGAAGTCATATACTCTGATGTATGTGGACCAATCCAGGTGGATTCGATGGGATGTAACAAATAATTTGTCACATTCATAGATGATTTCATTTGAAAACTATGGACTTACCTGATCAAGAAGAAAAGTGAAGTGATCGAGGTATTTGTCAAGTTTAAGTCTATGGTTAAAAGTCAAAGTGGTCGAAAGCTCAATGTCTTGAGAACTGATGGTGGTGGAGAATATGTGTCAAAATACTTCGACATGTTATGTGATAAAGAAAGGATTGTGCATGAGGTGGTGCCACCCTACACTCCACAGCATAATGGAACTGCAGAAAGGAAAAATTAAACCATCATGAATATGGTGAGAAGTATGTTGAAAGGCAAGCATTTATCCAAAGAGTTTTGGGGAAAAGCAGTGTCAACATCAACATATATTTTGAACAGATGTCCGATGAAGAAGCTAGAAGGAATTACTCCAGAAGAATGTTGGTCTGGTGTTAAACCTAGCTTAAGTCATCTGAAGGTATTTGGATCTATTGCACGTAGACACGTGCTAGATTAATTGAGAAGAAAACTTGATGACAAGTCGATTCAAATGATCCTAGTGAGATATCATTCGACAGGAGGTTACAAGTTGTTCCACCTTGTGAACAAACAAATTATGATCAACAGGGACGTGATCATATATGAGCTTAAATAATGGGATTGGACTGAAAATTTCATGAAATATTTAGTGAGAATCTTACTTAAAAAACCAAAAGCTCGAGTCGAAAAATAAGTTCGAAAAGAGGAAGTTAGAGATCAACCAAGTACAAACAGACCTCATAGAATAAGACGCATGCCTGCAAGGTTGTAAGATTGTGTGATTACATCAGATGATGTGGTTGATGATGAAGGTGAGATGGTACATTATGCTTTCTATGTAGATGTTGAACCAATCAATGTAGCAGAAGCATTAAAGGATTGAAAGTGGGTGAAAGCAATGAATGAAGAAGTGAAGTCCATCGAAGACAACAACACCTAGTCACTTGTCGAATTGCCTCGAGGCAAGAAGGAAATCAGTGTAAAGTGGGTATACAAGGTGAAGTTGAATCCCAAAGGGGAACTAACTCGACACAGGGCAAGACTTATGACGAAATGATTTATACAAAAAGAAGGAATCAACTTCGATGAGGTTTTTTCAACAGTTGCTAGAATTGAAACAATCAGGTTGGTTGTTGGTCTAGCAGAAATGAACATTGGCACATATGTCAGATGGACGTGAAATATGCATAGTTTATGTTGCATAACCAGTTGGGTTTGTGAAGCATGGTGAAGAGAGAAAGGTGTACAGGCTGCATAAAGCTCTGTATGGATTGAAACAAACTCCAAGAACTTGGAATAAGAAAATAGATAACTTTCTAAGGGAGAGGGAATTTGTGAAGTGCACAACTGAACATGGAGTATATGTATGAAGAAAGAGATCGAAGACTTCAAAAGTGATCTCAATAAGGAATTTGAAATGTCGGATCTAGGTGACATTTCATATTTACTTAGCATTGAATTCTACAAGAGTAGTAGAGGATTGATGATGCATCAAAGAAGATATACAAGAGAAAATTTCAAGAGATTTGAGATAGAAGAATGCAACTCGACTTCGACACCTGCTGAACTAAGGTTGCAACTGTCGAAAGATTCAGACAAAAATGATGTCGACCCAACCCAATACAGAAGACTTATTGGATCATTAAGATACCTTTGTCATACAAGGCCTGACTTAGCATACAGTGTAGGTATGGTAAGTAGATTCATGCAGAAGCCAGAGGTATCACATCTAGCAGCGAAGAAGAGGATACTAAGGTATATGAAAGAAACTCTCGATTATGGCATTTTGTTTCCTGCAAATGATAAAAGAAAAGAATGCAAGTTAGTGGAGTACACTAATTCAAGTTGGTGTAGTGATGTTGAGGATCGAAATCCACAGCAGGATATGTGTTTATGCTAGTTGGTGCACCAGTTGCTTGGAGTTCAAGAAAGGAACCAGTAGTGGTATTATCATCGTGCGAAGCAGAGTACATGGTTGCTTCTCTTTGTGCATGTCAAGCAACGTGGATGGTGAATTTGATCAAAGAGATAATAGGGAAAGATCATGGAGCAATTACCATAAAGATCGACAACATGTCAGCTATCAATCTGGCGAAGAACCCGATAGCACATGGTCGAAGCAAGCACATCGAAATGAGGTTCCACTATCTTCGAGAGCAGGTAGCAGATGGGAGATGAAATTGGAACACTGCAGAATTGAGAATTATATTGCAGACATCATGACGAAATGTGTATAGGTCGAAGTGTTCAGAAGACTAAGAGTTATGATGAATATAGATAACTTAGACACAATGAATTAGGTGGTGTGTTGAAAGTGTAATTCCTTGTGTCGAGGAAGGTTGTTGCTCGTCACAAGGTGTGTCAAAAAGTTTAGTTTGTCGAGTTGTAGGAAGTTATCGAAGTGTTCTCAATAGGTTGCTACACACAAATTTCGATTTAGATCGAAAATAGATATTTTTGGACTTCTATAGCGTTGGGCTTTTTTTGACTTAGGGAGAAAGCTAACCTAAAACTAAAATAGAGGGAGTAACCCCTATTTTTGTAATTAACTCAGAAATAGTATTCACAGAATTTGCAGTTGCAAGTGAATAAAGATTTTTCACAGTTTGTGGGCAGAGAGAAACTCTGCAGAAACCCTAATCTCTTTTCTTCTTTAATTTTCTTTTTTGTTCATTATCATTGTGTAGTGATAACAATCTTGTTCATCAAGATTGATAGAAATTCATCATAGGTTTTAGTAAATTTCCAACACTTTAGACATTTTCAACTTATCAAAACAAAAAGACTCTAAGTGGCCAAATCTATTGTAGCATGAGCATTTATAAATACGATGATTCATTTTCTTTCTATTAATCTTTTTACTATGTGCCCTATCGGATTTAAGTCCTAATTCACTTTTATATAAGAAAAGTCTTTGACTTATAATGTATAGTTTATTAATAATGAAAATTTTCTTTAAAATTATTGTCAAGGGGTGCAAATACTGTGTTGGAGTTTGTCGGATTTTGAAAATCAGATTCACTCCATTTTTTACCATCTTGTGATGAAATACAAACCTAAGTCAATGCGTGCGGTTTATCTTGAGATTGAAATTCATATTTTACTAAGGTATATTCGGAAAATGAAATCCATTTTTTTTTTTAAATGGAGCGTCTCTCTGATAAAGTAATTTTATTGTAAATTAGATATGTCCATATTATAAGCATATGTCATTGCCTAAACTTGCAGCAATTAACTTTCAAGTTTCAGCTCAAGACAACTTCACTGTGCACATTGCCATCCTCCATCCTTATCCAAGATCGTAGAGAAAAAGGGTTGTGAGTAATCTCTAAAATTCGAGCTCCTCTAGGCCAATCACCATATCCTCCATAGCCAGTGTGCCTAGCATAGCATAGCCATAGTTTCTTGTATGGGCAGCACCAATCCAATCCATGGTTGTGTCCAACAAATATTGCCTGCATTATCAAAAAGAAACACCTTAATTTATAAACCGATCCTGTTGACAGTTTCTCATCTTGTCACAAAAACTAAAAATAAAACAGCCACAGACTTGAACAATAATCAAACAAAAGTAACACTAAACTTTATGGATATTTTTTAATAATGGTGGCTTTGGCCTTACCTTGACAGAGATCCTTTTCACAAGAAGATCCATGATCCCCGTTTCAGCTTCTTGAGCTGCAACTTTTTCCTTGTTGATTGAACCAACACAACGCTTTGGTATGCCAAACTTGGGAGCCACAACCTCATAGGCCTTACTTGGTATATGCCAGAAAATAATCTCAGGAACCCTGCCATACAGAATATATTGTTAGCAATATGCCAAAACAGAAGGGAACAAAATAAGAAAGAAACTTCGATCAACTATTTTCAACATACTTTACTTCACAAACTTACTAACCAACAAAGATTAGAAATCAACAAAGTTATTATCATCGAATATAAATGTAATGATTCCTTTATATTGGATATGTTTATCATGAGAGTGAGGTTTTATTTTTATGCAATGCCTTCTTAATCTACCTAGAGTCAGAGTTAATTTCTTTAGCTTTCTGCAGAAACCATTCTGCCTGGCCACTAGATATGACTTCTGGATAAGAACCACCACCGGAATCAAGGAAGTAGAGGAAAGCCACCGGTGATTGCAGATCATCTGGCGCCGAAACCTGAAGGACATAATTTGATACACTGGGCCAAAGGTTTCTTGGACCATATCTAGAAAATGATACATTGTGCTTGATTTCATTTTTCATCAGCTCCAATCTTCCTGTTCCTCTGAAGCTACATTCTTCCACTGAAATTTATCAAGTATGCTTTACGATTAAGATATTTCAAACATTTAATCTCATGAAAAAGAGTGTGAGAGACTACAAGCACAAGTTGAATATATCTTAAATAATGGATAATGAAGCCAAAACGATAATCAGAAGAATATATATAGCATAGAAGTCTATCCGAAAAAGGACTAAAAAAAGTGGAATCAACATGTTGCTATATTTAAAAATTGGTGCTGTGAATAATGATAGCAACTAAGTGTTGTCTCTTTCACTGAATAAGCTTTCTTATTCTTGAACCTTTGTCATTTTGTTTGCCATTAAAAATATGTTTTGATTGACTTAATTGCCTTATCTATTGGCATTTGGGAGAGCTTATGGAAATAGCTTATCACATTTTTATAAGTTGCTTTCAGCTTATTTCCATAAACTTATCAAAATAGCTTATGAAAATGTGTTTTGCCTGCTGAAGCTCAAAATGGGGGATGATGATATATAGTTGGTCAAGGAACTAGGAAATAATTAAGTTGTTTCAAATGATAAATTCAACAACATTCAAAGAAACCCTTACAATCCAACAGAAAACCGACAATTAACACTAAGAAATGTTTTATCTTAGTAAGTGAGATCGGGTACATGGATCAAATTTTGCAATAATATTCTATCCAAGACTATGTTCCTATCCAATTCCTTAATCTCTAGATTTTTTTAGTAGTTTCTTTTATCATTTTCCTAGATCTTCCTCTACCTCTAGTCATCTGATCTACTCTCCTTACAACACAATCTACGGGTATTCTATCTACAAATAAACTTAATCATAGAAAAAATTACCTGAGTATGAAGCACCGGATTGAGAACAGTGAATTGGAGGAATTCCAGGAGCAGAAAACCAGTGTAATGGCCACTGAAACGAAGCATCGTCATGGTTTCCAAATACACTTGCCCAAGGTATTCCCCTATTTCTTGCTGGCAAGGTAGCTTGATCCCAATACAAACTTGCATTTCCAATCATTATATTGTTAGCCGTAACAACATCTCCCAGATATATCACAAAATCTGCCATACAATTAGTTAGTTTAACATCATTATTTTGAAGATGATACATTTAATATTTAAATATAATACAAGTTGCGTAGATCAAACCCAATAATATAAATCCTTATTTCCTTTACTATTCTCTCTTTCTAACAACTATAACTAGCTAGTAGAGCTAGAAATGAAAGCAATAGAAATATAATGTTCATCACCTTCTGACCTGGAGTTTCATCGTGGAGCACCTTATTCATCACTTTGATGGAGTTTACATCTTGAAGCGGTCCCCAATTCGTCCACGCGTCTTCTCCAAAATGCAGGTCCGCAAACAGTGCAACCTTCAACGGTGCACCTGCTCGCATCGTAACCTGCCTCGATGATGGCTGGTTGTGATGACAGGATGACGACTGGACTGTGGAGAATAGAGTGAGAAGCAGTAAGGGTAAAACCGTCTTCCATGGGGTTCTAGTAGTTTCCATATTCACTTGTTGTTGTGAGGAATGAAGATGAAAATTCATACGGAACAGATTCAACTAAAACACTTCAAATATTTAGGACATTATAAGCAGCATTGCATTTTTTTGGATTATGCGAGTTTAAGAGTAAAGTCATGTACAGTAATAAGGGTAGGATAGGAACCAACAAAAAGAAAATAACTCTTTTACAAAAATCTGAACAAATTTATTGAATTTTCTTTAAATTGAGAAATATTATTTATTTTATATTAAAAAATTAAAATTATAAACCGTTTAATCAAAATATTTCCATCGGGAAAAAATATGTATATATTCTATGCATATTCCCAGGAACATTAGGAATATTCGTCAAGTAAAATTTCATTAAATTCTTGTTTTATCATTACATATAATAGAAACTCCAAAAATAGAAACATATTAAAAGAAAAAGGAACATAACCATCTTTTTGAAAATATTTTTCATATTTATGTCATCTCTATCACTACTGGTACCATTGCATTCTCCGCCACTATATTCTTGATTTTGTCTTTCTTTCAATAAGTATACCGATATTATTCAACAAAATGGTTAAAAAGGAAACAAATATGCATGAAATTGATATGGAATCATCTTGCTCCTGCTCCGTTAAGGAGTATTGGACGTAGTTGATGAATTAAGGATTTTGAATCAGTAGTGATGATCTCTGTTATAATAGTGTGGGTAGACATGATTAGCATTCTAAAATTTAAGTCAATTTAACATTTAAGATGAGTGTAATGAAAAATAAAGATCGAATAGTATATCTTATTCCTAATGTGAATTAGACTTTAGCAATTTAGATATTTGGCCGATCTAGAACAGTTGTCCTCAAGACTTTGTCAGAAAACTGAGGGAGCCTGAGAAGCCTTAAGGATGTTAGTCGGCCTCCGGGATGTAGTTAGGTGTGAGTTAGAACCGACAAGTTCAGAGTCAGTTGAAAAAACAATGGGAAACAAACTCATTAAATACATTTCCATCATTAAAATATTTCAACATCTTTTTCATACACGTGCATGACAAGTTATGGCTTAGTGTGGCTTATTGTGCACTCGATTTTATGTGTATTCCTGAGGTAAAATACAATCATTGATCTGATAACTCCTCTCCTTAGTTGATCTGAGTCGTTCAGTTGTCATTGCTTATAAATAGGAAGAGTCGAGCGTTTGGAAAAATTTTGCGCATTCAAGTTTGCATTCACTGTTTTAGAATATGTCTTTTCCTTCTTCATTTCGGAGAACATTTATTAGAGCACTTATTTATTCTTTGGTCAAGTTTATATGTTCGCCATTTTCTTTGCTTCACCAACTTCATATACCCAAATACCTTCCTCGACTCAAGCTTTCTTTTCAGCATTTCATGTTTTTTAGTCAAGATGAGTGATAGTGCCATTAACTTAGTGAATGCTTTTAAGAGCGAAACTTCCTCTTCTATGGGAATGGATGCTTCTCTTGACTCTCATCTTTCTCACTATCGTATGGATCCAGAAGTGATATTTTTATCTCATGACTCTACTTTGGAAAGGGTATCTATGGATTACCTGGAGGAAGAAACTTTTTCATCTGACTCCTTAAAATCCATTTTGTTAACTGTCAGCGGATAGATGAGTTGTACTTAGGCTTATATACCCCATCTGTCTTGACTAGGGAGGAAATCCAAGATATCTAGTGGTTGAGGGAACACATTAATAATTTTATTTAACTTTCCTTGAAAATTATCGGTTGTGAACCTAGCGATGGTGAAGTAAGGGTCCACTTAGATTCCCAGAGAAGACCAGACTCATTGTCTTGGATCACACCCAGTGAACATTATAAGGCTAATCATCTAGCATGTAAAGGTGTGAGTGTGGTAGTGTCGACCGATGTGTTAAGGTATGACTGGATGGATGTAGAGGTGGTGGGTACCCCATTTGTCCTGAGTATTGAGGCAACAATAGAAGTTGTTAGCGTCGTGTTCAAGGATACTCTAGAGTGGTTGGTTCTTCCAGTGAATCCAGAGAAGAGGATATGTAGTTCCTTTGATGACTGCAATATCACGCTCTATGAGTTCCTGTTCACAAGGATAAGACCGAAGTTTCCTTTCTCTGGCTTTAAGGTGACCGTCCTAAAGCACTTAAAAGTTTCCCCTTCTCAGCTTCATCTAAAGTCATGGACCCACACGAGGGTATTCTGGATGTATGTCAAGCATAAGTTTTGGCATCCTTCCTTTATACTGTTCTTCAACCTATTCCACCTGAGGTGCTCCTCTTAGGATAAATTCCATGACCAAAGGCTTATTATTTTTTATCCAGATGATCCTTGGTTCGACCTTTTCACCTAGGGCTTGGGTGATTTTGTGGGACACTTTTTACTAGTGAGGCCCCTTACTCCAAAGGCCTATCTTACCTTCTATTACTCCCCTACTGAATCTTTTCACTTTTGTAGGGGCTGATTTCTGAAGTACTCGTCATCATCTCACTTCAACCGGGAAGTCCATTTCTACTGCACCAAGTTGGGCTCTCTTTCTCTTGACGAGATGGTAATGAAGGAGGAATTGTGATGTTTCACAAACTTGGCTACAAATAGGGATTTGGTCCCGTTGAGGTGCCTCCCACTGAGGTGAGGAATATGTGAATTGACACGTACACCATTGTGAGTGTGTTTAGCAGAAACGAGAGAAGAGTAACTTTTAGTGAAGAAGGAATCTTTTGTTTTCATTTTTTAACATGCGTGGTTGTGTTTTGCAGATAACATTGATAAGCTACATATACTCTAAGAGAGTGTCAGTGTTCAAAGTGTTTTGGTTGGTCCCTCTGGCCAGGTTGTAACGCCTCTTCTCCATACCATAATTACTACCTCATATGTTGCTCTCGTCTCAACCTTTGAGACTACTACCACTGCTTCTAGGGTCGACTAACTTGTCATCGTCGAGTCCATTTTGACTATTGTATAGATGTCTTTGTCTCTAATTTCGACGAAGAGAGCCCAGGATGACAGCTAACACTTCCTATGGGGAAAGGGTTCTCCAAAGCTGACTCGTATTTCTTGGGACAATGCTTTTGGTGACATGACCTTATTCATGTAGATAACTGTTACTTTTCCTCCCTTAAAATGTTCTTCAACCTGTTCCACATGAGGCCCTCCTCTTAGGATAACTTCCATGACCAAGGGCTTATTAATTTATATTCGGATGATCTTTGGTTCGACCATTTCACCTAGGGCTTGAGTGATTTCATGGGCCACTTTTTACTAGTAAGGCCCCTTACTCTGAAGGTCCATCTTACCTTATATTACTCCTCTGTTGAATCTTCTCACTTTTATAGGGGGATCGTTTCTGAAGTACTCGTCGTCATCTCACTTCAATGGGTAAGTCCATTTCTACCACATCAAGTTGGGCTCTCTTTCTCTTGACGACATTTTGATGAAGAAGGAATTGTGCTCTTGGTTTCACGAACTTGGCTACAAAGAGGGATTTGGTCCCGTTGAGGTGTCTCCCACTAAGGTAAGGGAAAGGTGAATTAACACTTACGCCATTGTGAGTGCGGTCAACCGAGATGAGGGAAGGGAAAATTTTGGTGAGGACATAGTCCTTTGTTTTATTTTTTGACATGCGTGGTTGTATTTTGCGGATAACATGGATAAGCTACATATGCTTTATGATCTTGTCGATGCTTAAAGTGTTCTGGTTGGTCCCTCTGGCCAGGCTATAACGCCTCATCTCCATACCACAATTACTATATCATGTTGCTTTCATCTCCACCATTGAGACTACTACTAATGCTCCCAGGATCGACTAACTTGTCACCACCAAGGCCACTTTGATAGTTGTGGAGATCTCTTTGTCTCCAGTTTTGACGAAGATATCCCAGGATGATAACCAACATTCCCTCTGGGGAGAGGGTTCTCAAAAAGCAGGCTCGTCTTTCTTGGGACAATGCTTATGGTGACATGACCCCCTTCATGCAGATAATCGTTATTTTTCCTTCCGATCTGCCCGCACTCTTGAGGAAGCTATTGTGGTTGAGTCAACGGAGGGCATGTCTTACGTCCAAAACTATTTTGAGGTAGAAAAGAATGGGCATGTCTTTAAGGTCACCCATAGCATGTACCAGGCCTCTACCTTGCTTTCTCTAGTTGTTGTTGGTCAAGGTGGTGTCTTGGTTGTTGGAAATCCCTACAAGGAAATGGACACTGGGAAAGGAAGTGAGAATCTATAGAGTAAAAGTACTTCAATTTAAAAAAGGTTCAGTCTGAGCTGTAGAAGAAGGTCGGGCTTGCTGACTCTTTGTGAGAGGCGGTGAACACTTACGATTCCCCTTCTACTCTAGCTTCCTGGATACCTAAGTTGGAGGTTACTCTTAAGGATGAGGGGAAACTTCATCAAGATGCCTCTAATTTTGTTATAGAGAAGACTTGTCTAGTAAAGGGTGACTGAAAAACTCTTCTTGAGGAAGGTCTCTCCCACAACCATAATTTTTTAGGAGGCATTGAATCTGTTCCACACTACCACCGAGGGGACTTTAAATGGTGACCTCGGTACCTCGGCTTTAGATGCTTCGACTTAATTACCTATTTTCTTCTTCTTCTTTGTATTATTTACCTGTAACATTTCTTAAGCTTTGTGCCTTGGGTGTACTGGTTATTTATAAAATTATTTTAACTCAATGATTTAAAAATTGTTTAGAATAAATTCATGCATTTGGCTTCCTTTTATTATTGTTGTTATGTTGCAACTGTTGGTTGCTTGCAAATTTTTGCAACATTGGGGTTTTCTTATTATCCCTGAAATGTAAAGTTTATGTGCCACGGGGGGCATTGTTGGTGTTCACCGGTGACCTAAAAGAGTCATTTCATGCCAGATGAGAAGTGATATTTGTTTTAGGTGTGTGAACCATGATTGTTTTCATCCCATAGTAGACCGTTTGATTGAACTGGGTAAATAAGTTATTGTATTTCTTGTCTTTTATCTTCTCCTGTAAAGTTAAGTTGTTGTCTTACTACATAAAGAGTTGTTTTTGCTAAAGGCCGTTTATTTTGGTTTTCATTGG